GATATATACCTTTATTGCTAGTTAAGGTCGAAGTTAGCTTCCTCTTGGGTGGGGTAAGAAGGCTCATGATTGAGGACTGAGGACTAGGGCTGGAGCTTGTTGAACTTTGCAGCACTAAGCATCTATGACAATACAACCCCTAAGCTCTTGCCGGATCACAAATGATATTGCTAGCTACAGTCATACCTTGAAATGGCTAGGGAGAAAGAGTAATTTCAGTTCGGCTACTATACTGTCCGTGCTGTAAGGGAGTATACCTTCTAATGCGTGTTTATGTCTTACTGCAGGTTGGGGTGTGGAGCCGAAAATTGCTGAACATGCCTACCTGTACCTGGAGACTTCTGTCACCATTGATCATCGTTGATCATCAAGGGTTGGTTTGTTGCCGAGTACGGGTTCTTCACCCCCGCGGTGTGGGTTGGGAATGGCATGCTGTCAGACGTGTGGTTTGGCAGTTCCTGTCAACGTCTCCAGAACTACCCCACGATCCTTACTGTAATGTTCCATCCCCTTTCTGGCAACTGATAGGAAAGCTCAGGATATATGTAGCACATTCATGCCTGTCTATAGAAAGGATAGAAACATAGGCTGACTATGACATGGTATGTAACTCCTTGGTCGTCTGACCGTCATCTAGGGGCAGGCTAATCAAGACCGGGATTAAGAAAGAGAAAGGGAAGGCATGGAGATGTGTCCATCGATTAACATCATATATTCCTCAACGTAAATGGAGGGCCTACCTTCAGCATCCAATACTGTTCTGCCGCAGAATGATAGCCTGTACTACCTACCGATCGGAGCAGACCGCTCCTTATCAGATCAGCAATGAATGTAGGCACCGCATTGTGTCATCCCTTGAATGTGAATCACAGGAAGTCAGAGGATTGGTTCTAAATTTTCCACAAGAACTCCCTTGCTTTCTACCCTCTGTAGTGAAACCTCATGTCCTAGAAAAAGCGGAGTCATAGCGCTGGTGTTACATTAGTCTAACATTTCCGGCTTCTAAAACTCCACCTGTGAAAGTATTCCCATTTTATGCACCTTAGGAATCAAAATGAGCGTTTCGTCTATCAACACACTCCTCTTTGCTGCCTTGGTGACGGCTGGACCTTTGAAAATTCCTAAAGGACATCTCGATCAAACCATGATGAAATGGCACATGAGAGAATATGAGCTGACGTTATCTCTATCCGGACATAAATTAACTTTATGAGGATCAATAGGACCCTTCTATGCAACTGTCCTAAGTTAAGCTTCTTACTTTTGTGATGGACGTCCAGTAAGCAATGGGCTTAAATCTTCATGTTTCTAACTACTAGATGGTCAAGAAAGCTGAACTATCTTCAATACCAAGCAAATGATTTCATGGGTTAGTTGACCTCACTATAGTTCGAGTATAATACGCATAGCCTCTTTAACTACCGTAGTTTCAGAAAGCCACCGACAAAAAGGATACCCCCATTGTGTTCTCTGCGTAGGTATGTGAACGATAGTGCAAGCTCAAGCAGGGTAGCTCCGAAAGACATAGTGAAGGTAAAATCCTATAAAGTGGTATTTACCAGGGCTTCTTGGATTTAATCTTACCGTTTGTGCTTGGTATACGGAATGTATTTAAAGAAGCCAAGTGAGCAAATTTATTGGAGTTAAGGCAAAGGACACGGAATAGGAGCAAAAGAGTCCCAAGTGAACGAAACTACCTGTGCATTTGCATGACAGTACAGGAAAACCTACACTAGTAGGGAAAAACCTATACTGAGGCACTTGTATCACATACTCTTGAGTAACAGAATTTCATAACGGAAAAAGAAGATTCCAAAGGTTTCTGGTCAAAGGTAGGTTCACTCGCACACCTTGGTGATCTAATAGTAGCATCACCTCACTACCACGTAAATATCGAATGCTTTGGGAACCTAGCAACCGCATTTTTTACAGCAGCTGTCAGCACCAAAGATGGCCAAAGCACAACCTGCACAGCATTGAGCAGCGTTGTTGTCGGGACAAGCTTCAGTCTAGTGTTATATATTCACTGTATTAGTCTTGTATTGAGAACTGAGATTGACAGGGTAGCTGCGAAAGATATCTTACGGCTCGTTTGAGGATCGCAGTAGCAGCATTGTCAGTGACAGGGCTGGGACTGGCTGCCACGAAGACAGTGAAAAAAACAGCTGAAAGAATTGCCGAGACCTTCGTATTGACAGAACTAGTGTTTCTTGGGATTTGTTCTCTGGAGGTGGATGAATAGGAAGAATATGGAAGATGTGCTGTGGATGGTACATTCGAGAGCAGGGGAGATGGGCGGGCCCTTTTATAGACAGCACAAGACCATATATTCTTGCTATGCGACTACCTCGGCATCTTCAGCCAGGAACATTGTATCTACTGTCAAAGACTTCGGTGAATTCGAAAGCAAGGGAGGTTGTTCCGCTGCACATATATAGAATCATTTCATGATAACCATTGATGTAAGTCCCGCATGTCGTCTCTAGTCAGCGATCCCAATTCAAATACATCAATGAGATACTCATTTATCCACGTTACTAAATGCCGAGTGTTGTTAGTCGGACCCTCAGTCTCTCAGGACCCTTATGCCACTTAGCAGCATGCCTCTCAATGACAAATTCCTCGTTGACCCTCTCCATCCAAAAAGCGAGTCATGTTTGGCCATGCATGGGGTAATTACTTGCACCGGAGTGGATCCCTTGTTTAGAAGAAGCCTTAAGTCTTGTAAAACGTTTTTTTTTTTTCTTTTTGAGCAGGATGAGGTGGACAAGTAGGGATTTTATGGCTACCTGACCGGTCCATGCATTCTTAGGTATGCAGATAGGTACTGCAGCTACACAGGGTCTGTAATCAAGGTCAACAATCGTAATATCGGCAATGTGTAACAAGTGAGAAGAAGAATAAAAGTGGAAGAGGGAAGGCAAGCCAGCAACGCATCTCATTATCACAGCTTGATTGGCGCTTTATCGCCAAAGCTTTCAGAGTGTATCATTGTAATGGACCTCGATATATGCATAGCCCGGGTGCCCTTCAGGCTTACTACCTATCCTCAATGACCTTACCCCAGAAATGATGCATATCATGTCCCATTCGGGACAGATAATGTTGAGACATTTACCCCAGCCAGAGTCAGCTGATCCTTTGCCTCTTCTTCCTGCGTGGTCTTCCAATGTATTGACAGATAATCCGCGGTGTCTGAATGGAAATGCATCTTTATTATGTCTTACCCATCTCTCAGCACAGCTTCTGGGAAGTCAAAGCGCTTGTCGTTGAACCGCCGTGAATTATCGGTCTGAGGTAACACATAGATAAAGCACATTCTTTATTACCACATTGTTGGATCAGAATGCTAGTGGCTAGCTGAAGCGTAAGGGGATGAGAATCATTTTGACTTAGCATGTTTCTCGCCACCATAGCTCTATTTGTCATTCACTTATACCATTCCATCCTTTAGGCTGATTATCTTCGACTATACCTAGAAGGTTCAAAGCGATCCTGAAGCACTGACTTCATAGAAAATGCTGAAAAATTCACTGTAGCCAGCCATCACCTGATGCTCTGCCACATCTGCCTACCACACCATTATGTCAAGATCTAGATGGATTAAACGTACCTATTGCCGAATCCACCACTGCCCTTGATTCTGGAGATAAGCCGACCGTTATAAACAGTACAAATCAGATTTAGGTCGATGGCAAGGATGCGTAATGTATGAGACAGAAAATTCAGCTAGGCTGTGCTTTACCACGTAGGGGTGACGCCAGAATTGGTGTACTGACATAGTCTTTCCAAACCGTGTCCACCGGACAGGATGTCAGCCGTCATTTTCAATAAACTGTATATAGTTATGCAATCGAAACGTGCCTCTTGGCGAAGTCAGATTTCCTATTCTCAAGCATGTTGGTGGTGAAGTTCAAAGTAATGACGACTGGTTCTGATCTGTGACTATTAACAAGGATGGTTAGTCAGAGAGAACTCGATGATCAACGTGGGGATATCATTGTCCTATGCACCGTAACCTTTCGCTGATCCATCATGGTAGCCAAACCATGTAGTATCGAGTCCCCAATCCATTGAAGAAGTTACCAAGCCCGCTCATAGACACCTTCGAAACCTATTGATAGTCAGTCACCCTGTATTATAGGAAACAATTAAGTCTAACTCAGCTTGCCACGATTATGTGGCGCATATATCTACGATCGTATCTGGTTTGAAGAATTTTGGAGACGCGAATCATTGTGAGACTACCCAGCGGGACAGATTGTATTATGTAGAGGGAATCAAAACACTGCAATACTTCCACATCCTCATTCATGTTGGCGCGCCCTGCTTTCCAGCTTATCCACCCAATTCATTGGTATTTGCTTTTGGCTGGGGCATGCGCCCAAAATTGTGAATTAATGCGGAATATTTGGTACTTTGGTGGGAGTATCAGTAGTTTCTGGCAGCCTTACGCAATTGATGTTTTATATGGATTATTTTGTTCTGATTCTCATGTTTAAGGTAGTCCGGTGAGGTTTTCTGGCCTCTTCCCATAACTTCCACCCAGTTGCCATTTCACGGTTCAAGGAATAGGTAAGCCTCATTCACCGCTATATCACGGTTACACAAAATCTGCGCTCGGATGCAGATGATAGTCTCACGACTCTGGGGTTTCGGCACGGATCGGTGTGGTCGAGCCGAATGGGTGGGCTCCTTGCTCGATCTACAGACCTTACTGCCTAAAAGCGCTACCGAAGCTCTGTACATTACCGAAGCCGAAAAAGCAATTGTCCCATAATCGGCAAGTCCGGTGACATAGACACGTAAGGTAAGAAGGGATATCTAAACCTCAAACTTGCATGATGCTGAGTCATTTATCAGTTGTGTCCCTGGGTTATAAAGCAGCACAAGTCGTCCCCGGTTCTGGAGGCTTTCCAAGATACAACTATACGACCGACCAGTTAAGCCCTATATCAAGCCACCAGGAAACCTATTTTCCCTGACACCAAATTTCAAACATGAAGTTTTTGACTATCCTCTCCACCGCCCTCTTCGTCGCCTTTGTGGCAGCTAACCCTGCCAACGAGGATATGGCGAAGCGACAGGTAAAGGAACCGGTGACAGAGCACTCCTTAGCGGATTTTGTATCATATCACTATCAGCTCGTCGTAACACAGAGCCTTGACGAGGGTTGTCCGACCGGACAGGCTAGCGAGTGCTGCCTCTCTTGTTGGGACCAATACAACGAAGATCATACCACTGATCCGGCAAACTGTTGCCGCGGCTGTGGTTGTCAATAGATCGTATCCTATCTGATACACGGATTCAGCCCTCAAGTCAAGGCAATGATATGTGCAGAGATTGAGCAGATATACAATGACTGGACTAAGTTGATTTTGTTGTATCCTGTACATAGGAAAGTCAAACAATGAAGGTTCAAGATTTGGGTGACGACGGGAGAGTGTTAAATCTTGACACAAAGCTTTTGATATATCGGTGGCATCCAAGACGTGGAATGTTTCAAATAGTTCGACATTAGGATTGGCCGTGTGCGAGTTATGTTGGGTGGCTTACACGTGTATAAGTACTACATGAACAGATGGAGCAAAACCAATCTGCCTCAACTTGTAGGCCAGACTGCTATCAACAAAACCAGAATGAATATGTCCCGTTCCATAGTAATTAGTTTCTGCCTAAAATAGCAATTCATCTGCTGCAGCTAAGTAAGTCATGTTCTTTGGCCTGTAGTATAGTGTTACTCAAATCTCGACATGCACATTGCAACCTGCAGTCTTCATGCAACAAGGTGGCGATAAACATGCCTGTCTTTCCTTATTCCCTAATAAATTTTGACTTCGTTGGTTGGGAACATCTAGTTTAGCATCTGGCCAATTACCTTCTTTTATCACGCCATTCTCTCTGCAGTCAGAGGTAAGGCCAATAAGGCCATATGCAAAGTGACACGACCGGGACGGACCGAGGGATTGAAGCGGACAATGTATCAGTCCCACTTATCTATCACGCAATTATCAGCTTCGGGGTACTGCTATTTTCCTCGCACAGGGTGGACTGACCAATGTTCCGAGACACAGAGAAAGTGTGCTTCTTGGACCTGCATCACCCTTCCACGTTGCCCAGATTAACAGTACTGAGCGCTTAGCTACTGCAGGCCTGACGAGCCAGATGAACGCACTGAATCAGCACAACTGAACTAGTGTTCTTTCAACTGATCACGCCTGATATAAAACAAGCTCGTTATGCAGGTGTTTCAGCTACTGAAACCGGTTTTTAATCACAGACATCGTCAACCTTAACAGCTCCAGAAGATAAATAAGCACATTGCTAGCTAAACGAAAGCTATAGGTAATATAAAAGTGGAAGAAATATTCTGCCCGATTCAAATATTTCTTATAAGTCAATCATCTCACTCAACCCCTTCGTGCTTCTTGATCTTTCCTTTTAACGTGCGTACCATTCACTGAGTGAATCAAACCAGTGCATGAAAAGGTTCCCTACTCCATACCTTATGTGTATATTTCCATTACCCATAGGACCATGTGCTCTTGGAATTATATCTGGAGTTGGCTTAAGATGTAGCATAACCTGAATTGAAGTGTCCGAGAAAGCGTGTCTGCAGCGTGACCACGGTGATAAAGCGGATCACCCGCAGGCAGTGAACGTGCATCTCTGAGCAAACCCCAGCTACATAAACATAAGTACCCAAAGATAAGAGGAATCCCTAGATATAACATTGGTGCTACAGTAATCCCTTCGCTAAGTACCTGTAAGCTTCACTACTGGTTCAGCGTGGTGATCTTTGCTTCTTTTGTTGCTACATTTAAAATTCCTCGGTTTCAGCCCTACATGAGATTGTGACATACACAAGACATTGTTCAAAACCAATTCGGCTGGTTCCCTCCACTGATCTAGCCTGTTTATGCCTCGGTATAGGCTCTTCCTAATAGCTTAGGTTTCCCTGTACTGTTATGCAAATGCAAAGTCTTGTTTGTTGAATATCTTTTATGTTATATGGATAATTGGAGGTCAGGTTCTTGTGTTGGCCTTTTAGTATTATAGAAAAGACATTCACGGGTGCGTCGGACACTTCAGAATACTAAATGCATTGTTTTAGCAGTTACATCAAGCTACTAGCGTTATAAATATAGATCAGATACTATGTTAATTTAATCTCCAAATAACCGGAGGAAGAAAAGAAAACTAAATAGCTTTATCCTGCATAGATAATACATTAATAACCCTGCGATAATCTTACACCATACTCTGATAGTGCAATGGGGAGCCCTGGCGTTGTGCTGCGATTCTAAGATAGTAAGCCAGACCTAACATTGAGTCATACCTTGCAAAATCCATTATTCAGGATTCAAGCAGTAAAACTGGATGGTAACTGCCATTCAGACCCACGACATGCGCATATGATATAGATCGATCTGGAAGGAGCTTCAGATATGATAAAGACAGCGTCGGGGATAATGTGTAGGAATCAGATGCAGCTGAGTGCGTTGTCTAGCGATGTAGTTATTGTCCCATACAGACGTCTACTGAGATACACGTTTGCTTTAAGTGAATCAATGCTTCAGATCCAGACTATTGGATACACTGAATGCCAAGAAGTGAGCCAGCTTCTCACTAAGACAGGAGATAGTCCATGTGCCACGGAGATGAATGTCTTCGGTGGTAACCGAAGTAGGGCTGTGATATGAAACGACCGACACAAGGAGAGCGTTGATAGAACTTTCTCCATTATGGGGAAGTACACAATACCACGGGAATAGGTAAGACATCTACCATTTCTCTCTGTATTTCGTTCCCTGGACTCAGCTAGTTCATGAGCCTAGTTACACACAAGCCTTAGGATCTGATGGTCAGAAAGAGATAAACGACGGTACCTTTACCATATTCTTAGTGAAAGACTTGTATGTCCCATGTATATTCAATATTCAATGAAGCAAACGGCACATTTTTACAGTCACCGTATAGCAAGCGCTTGTGGTAATCTCGCAATTGACAAAAGCGACATCGCAGCTACGGGGTAAGACTGGTCGGTTCTAACAATCTTACCCGCCCTGAGGTACTCCGTACGTTCATGTCTTTTGCTTAGGTTGATCTTCCTGGAATTTCCGGTCTAGCACGATCTTCACATCCAGTTTTCTCGGCTACCAATTGACGTATCGAGGCCCATGTACCCTTGCCTGTCAATCGAAATGCGGTGGTCGAATAAATACAGAACCTTGCCTCCCTACTTCTTCTTTATTGCTACTCGGGATGCCCTTCCACTTTCCATGAAAGTGCGTTAGTCGCAGACATCTATTATCATAAACATCCCATGTCGTCTCTGCATCTCTTCACAGAGGCCCAACTCATAGGTTTTTCGACAAGGTGCGAGTCTCAACTACACTAGCTACCAGCCAGCACAGGTAATGCCCAAAATTCGTTGGATGCATTTGGTTGTGTCTACGTGTCTCGCAATCCATAGTAAGCTAGGAGATGTGATACGTGATATCCTGCAGGTACAGTGGCTGGCTGATCGGTGACGGTGGCGGAACACAGGTATCTTTTGTAGGGTAAAGGAGGGACTCAGCCACTTAGCAACTAAGAGAAGCGGGTTAATTTCTACCCACCCCATTGAAATCTTCCATTTCTTTGGTTTAGGGTCAAGTTCCTGTTCTCGTAAGTCTCTTGGCGACCGTTTCTTGGATGTCTTTATCTTTGATACTATTGAATCTATTCAGGCATGATCATCCTGCAGAGTCGGCGAAAGGTTGCAAAAAGAAACAATAACGGTGAGACTATCTGGCGGCATAAACCTTATTGCCTGCCGCATCACTAACTGCAATTCCAAATTGCAGTTAGATTGCAGTGAACCCCTTCTACAAAGTAGATGATAGGCTTATTACCCCGTATCTGATACAGTTGCAGCAAAATATGAGGCAGGTGCAGCACGCAAGGGCCTGAGGAGGCTGAAACTGGTGTCCACCAGGATGGTTGCCTCCATGAGTGCATGATCAAGGCAGTGTGTAGTGACATGATTACAATCTGTTCAGTCTTTCATGCTCTAATATCTAGTTCCTGTTTCAGAAAATCATTGTATATGCACTCCTGATGCCGCCGTGCCACACGGATGCTAGCATGAAAAGAAATGGCTTAGAAAGCCCGTGTAGCCATCTGATAGTTTGGGGCGAATGGGTTCATGCAGGATGTATTGCATTTCCGATGAAAACGCATTTGTAATCGTCGTTGCTCAATGAGCAAATGGATCATCCGTACTACTCTTAATAAACGGCTGACTCTTAACTGAAATGGCCCAGTAAAGTTCAACTCTGCTGGTGAATCGGGGGCAAACATGCAGGTCGCATTTCGATAGTCGCCTCTTTTGGGGCAGTGTCGCGGTCAGGATAGAGTACTGTAGGGAGCAGGTCACACTAAGAGTATTTAGAAATACATCGGCTGACTGAAGATATCCCTTGCCGCTGAATGCATTGTCTTACTTCCCACTCTGCTGAGGCAATAACACAGTGAAGTCCATCCAAGTATTTAACCTGAGTACTCACCCCAGCTGTTCGATCTCATTACATCCTCCAAAGCATTTCATCTGCTCCACAAAATAAATCCTCTATCATCATGAAGGTCTCAGCTGTCCTCTTCGCCGTCCTCTTTTCTGCCTTTGTGGCAGCCACCTCTGAACACGATCCCGCGGCAAAGATTGGTGCATCCATTGGGAAGCGAACGGTAGGGAGCTGAGGCCCCAGTTGTTTTGTCATTCATAGACCATCCAGCAGAAGTACTGACTATAAGGCTTGATAGGAGGCCGACCCTGCTTCGTTATGCGACGCACTCGATGACCTCGTCTGTTAAGCTACATGCCTCGACAACAGCGATCCAGCCAGCTGCGCCAGCGATTGTGCCTGTGATATTAAATGATATCAAGGTAACGTGAAATGTTGGCGAAAGCACACCTTCGGCGTTCATACGCCGTATTGTGTCCCTGTTTTCCTTTATGTGACTGTGTGAACTTGACTCTTGTCCACCGTGCCTTAGTATAGGTCATCTCATATAACTTGGATCTTCCTATGCTCTCATGCAAATACGAAAACTCAGTCTGATATCTACCATGATTCCACGCATCGGACAGTTTGCCTTGGCACCCGAATAGTGTATTCTCTATATTGTCTAAGCCACAGAGTACGATTCGTTACAAGCATAGCGGCTATTGCGATACTGTGTCAATATCGTAGTGTTCCATCAATTTGAGTGACATGGTAGTATTCCGCTGGACCATCCTAAAGATTTGATTTGGGCTTCCCAGCTGCATCACTTGCTATATAAATCTGATATTGAGATAGATATACTCGATGTAACATGACGAAGTGGCATCTTGCAGCCCAGTCAACTGTCTTAGCAGATCCATCTTTGAATACGCAGTCGAGAGTTCCATGCACCATAGCCACATTAGAATTAGGTCCGTACGGGAAAACCTGCTTTAGGCGATGCGTGCAGTGCTCAGTTGGATTCCACAATGCTTTCCTCAGGGCATATATTCCTATCGAATAATCAATAAATGAGAAGAGCCTTGGAAAAAACACCTAAGACATGACCCTGTCAAGCTTACCCTCTCTACCACGTGCTTCCCTTTCTCCCATTATTACCGTAGCATCGGGCGTAAAGCATTGTGAATATTTCTCGTGCTCATTCGGTGAGTCCATCAGGAGATAGAACTCATTCAAGAATCGCTTATAAGCGGGATCGAAGGGTATTGAGGGGTAGTCCGGGCCCATCTCCGGCCTTTCTAACGTTGGTGTTAGAGTTAGTTAAGTGGTACTTCGTACGCTATGGCCAAGTACTTACCATCGTTCGGCAGGATAGCAAGTGCCTGTTGTCTGTATTTCTCATCCAGAAGTACAGTTTCTGCTAGACTTGTATCGAAGAAACATCTTACTTGAACGATCTTCTTTGTTGAATTGAATTTGCAGTGCCAGGAATAATGTTGGCTATACAAACGATTGCCCAGTTTTGTTCGGGTGTCTTTGGTCTTCAACTCAACGTTAACCCACCCTTCATCGTTTCTTGTGATGCTATCAGGGCAGGCTATTTTGAATATAGGGCCTGGGTCTGCTATCAGTTTGATGATAGGCAGCCACACCTTATCCAAGAATTCTGCCTTCGACCTCCATGCTCCTGATAACGCGTTTTGTCCTGTGATTTCCCAGTGCACATTGTCATCGACGTGGTTGAAGAAAGATTCGTAGCCGCGAGGGACTTGGCTTAGTTCTCCGAATATGGATAGAATCTCGGCGTTGGTGAGATAAGGCATAATGAGAAGTCGTTGGGGGGAAGCGTCTCCTGGGTCACTGAGAATCACGCAAACGAATTTTTTGTAGCATTGGCCAAGTTAAGACATTAATGATAAACGGCGGGCCTGATGACAGCTTATGAAGCCTAAGCATTCATTCTGCAGCAGCTGAGACCAGCCACATTCCAGGTCGCGGTTCGATCTTCCGCGATGCCCGTATCCTCAGCGTTGTGCCAAGAAAGAACAACTGCGCTCTAGTCATATGTACGCATTTCAATGTCTAAACAGCTAGCTTTCTCCAGAACTTAAAGCAGTCTATCTGGTAATGATAATGATTAATTTTGTGGAGATGGTTAACTATACCAAAGCTACCATTATATCTAATCGAATGTAATTGAATCGGCTTCTCGGATGACGAGATGAACGAAGCGTACTGGAGTACGGTTCGACAGGGTATGACAGAACTGGATGCATGCATCGATGGAGTGATCTCAATGACTTGTTGTTCGAAGACCGAGAAAGTTAATATGTGAGTGGCGATCCCATAACTAGTAGGACACAGGACAGATCGACAGTGTTGGGAACCCCAACCTGGTAAAGCAAGAGCCGAGTGCGAGTCTCCACACGGGTCCAAGGTTATAAGATGTTGAAGCACTAAGAGAACCCTTATGTAACATTACATTCGAGACCATTATATTCTCGGTCATGTCAATTGGGAAAAGCGCATCGGCGGGGTGCAGTTCATCTTGATTGTCAACCTCCTCCTCTACTTCTTGAGGAACGATCAAAGCAATATTCTCATCCATATACCTGACCCAACTACGGTGGCGTGCACGCAGTAACTTCCACTCGAAGGAATGCATGGCAACGTTGAGTAAGCCACGTACCAACAAACGAGTCATTCCACACTGGCCACACAAATAAGAATACCCGATGTGATTGCTCAAGGAAGATTTACCCTCGACTTTCCAGCCTAATGCCCGAGAAATAGAGTTCAGAATGGCATGGATCTGCACTTCCCAGGGTTTCCGAATGGCAAAACACAAGGCATTACCGGAAGAAGAACTAGAGGAGAATAAGGCTTTATGATTCATCCGGAGAAAGTTCCCGTAGCGTAGCTGATACTCTGCAAATCCATGTAGAATCGAAACGTATAAAGGCTATGCCAATGACTTCACCACTTCCTACATTGTCTAAACCAGCACTCCATTGCCTCAACGGACGGAAATGGCAACGGATGATGTCAAAATCAAATGGGTTTTGTCGGTCTGATACCAATGAGGTGGAAACTCGACATTATGCCTTGAACCACGTTGTAGAACAGCGTGCTGGTATGCTTATAAGCAAGTAGTAGTCTAGCTCCACGGTCACACGGGATCGGGAATGGTGTCCTTGCTTTGTTTCTTCAGACGATGCCGATCCCTAACCGTACAGTAACCCTTCTGACACTTAACAACATTTCTCACCATAACCACTCACGTATCCCTCTAATATGGAGACGCTTTCGGAGAGGCTTCCTGTGTACCTCCACTGGGCACCACTGTTCATCCTCGCTCTAGTCTTCATCAACTACATCATAGGAGTTATCAAAGCCATTAAGTCCCCTCTCTCACGGATCCCCGGGCCATGGTATGCACCTCTCACAACATTACATCTTAACTATGCATTCGCAAGAGGAACGATATGGAAAGCCGTCGAGAAGTCCCACACACGATACGGCTCTATCTTCCGCCTGGGACCGCGACAGGTGTGGATTTCAGATAAAGAAGCCATCAAAGCCATTCTTATGACAGTTGATCTGCCGAAAGTCACCATGTATGCAGAGATATCGAGAGATCGGACCAGTCCTGGATTATTTGGGGAGATGTAAGCGCCCTATTCTTTCTTCCTTCCTCGGGGCGGATAACAATACGGATGAGACGGTTTGATCGAAGTCTCGTACTGATCTAATACAAAGTCGACCAGATCCACATAAGCGACTTAAGAAGTTTCTGTCTCCAGCATTCACGATTGCGTATGTTGATGGTCTCGAGTTTCTGTTCGCAAAATGTGTGGGTGACCTGATCAATCGATATGTGGATCTGCTGTCATGCCCCTCGCCAAAGGGCGAGAAAGCGCCGGTAGTCACGGACCTGATGGAAGATTTGCATAGTCTTGCCCTTGACATGTAAGTAAATGATGCACAAGGCCAACTCCGGAGAACACTTCGTAGTAACATCTCGCAACATCAGAATGGGAGAATGCTCCTTTGGCAACGGATTCGGCCAGACGAACAAAAACAGGAAACTGGAACTTGAATTTGATGAGGACATATGGCGAACAATCCCAACAGCCATCTTCAGAGGGATGACTAGGCGATACCAGGTAATCGATGAAGTTCTCTAGTTGAGGAGAGGAGTGAGCGACCTGCTGACGCAGAATCAGTTTGTTTACATCAAGCGTCTTCTGAGGAGACTCGGCCTAAACATCGAATTTGACTGGCCACGAGAGATGATTGCTGTACTTATATTCCTAAATATCTTACACGATAATCAATCTAACTGACACCGACATAGGCCATCTCCGCAGTCGCAGGTCATCGAAAAGCAACCCCCAAGAGTGTCCGCCCCGACCTTTTGCAACACCTTCTCGAGAACGGCGAAAGACCAGATAGCGGCGTCAAAATGGGAACTAGGGAAGTTGTCGACCAGATGGCCGAGATTCTACTAGCCGGGTCCGAAACCACGTCTGGAACAATCGCCTGCTTTTTTCTGGAAATACTACGGAACCCAGAAACAAAAGATAAGCTGATGAAGAGCCTACCGATCCTTCAACCAAGTGATCCGATTATCCCCAGCAAGACTGTCCGAACGTCTCCTGAATATGAGTACCTCGAAGCATGCATCAAAGAGGTGCTTCGACTACACCCGATAGCGTCTGAGATGGGTCGTCGGACTGGAAAGACGCCGATTGAGCTGATGGGATACTACCTCCCCACTCATACGATTGTGTCTGCATCTTATCGCCAGCTTCACCGAGATCCGAAATACTGGGATGAGCCCCTGCGCTTCTGGCCTGAACGATGGCTAGATCCTCGGCCTTCTGATGTACCTGCACCTGAGTAAGTCCATATTATTATCACCGGGTGATGCCAAGTGCTGATTTTCTTTACTCAGCATGCAAGCTTACTATCCATTTTCCGCTGGAAAGCACTCATGCATTGGCAAGAAGTACGTCTCGAATCCATCCTTCCTCTCTATCTTGGACACCTTTTCTGGAATTCCGTTTCTTCGTCTTTCCCTTCAAGGTAAACGGTACCTAATCTGTTTGTAACAATTCAGCTTCGCCATGGCAGAAATCAGAATTTTAACCGCCAATATCTTTTCACGATTTGATCTGGCCGAGGTACCCGGACAGAATATCGACTACAGACAGTATATCACCATGCAGTTTGAAAAAGGATCGTGGAAGGCTTTCTTGACACCAAGATACCAACAGTCTCATCCAGTGTTGACCACTATAGCTTGATTGAACATCGCCTTATAGATGCAGTGCAGACTAAGAAGCTATTTATAATGGCTGTATCGGAGAGACACAGGAAAGTTTGAAGAATCGGTGTACTGAGACCAATTGGCACCTATTGCAATATATATGTCCTCTTTTTGTATTATGTAATATATATTATTCTGTCTTGGTTGCTGTCGGAATAGATAGAAATAACACCAGTCTTCTTCGCCATGATAATGTGTCGTAAGATTGATAAGTCTGGAAAATGAAGCACGTCCTAAATAGTGTGTCCGCGGTATCGAAATCAGCAGACTGGAACATCTTGATCATCACAGGTATCGGACCCACTTGCATGTAAATGCCTGCCATGACCACACAAATACGCCACTAACTCTGGCATCTATATCATGTAGTATATGAAGACAGATTGGAAATGAAATATTACAGGTATTGATTGATCGATTCGGTGATACTGTTTTCAGTCCGACTGGGTGTCTGAAGGTGTTGTCAGATAGATATACAAACTCTGAATAGCCAGGTATAAATAGTATTTCCTTATTTTGTACTATGGAATATCATTATTCGATCCCCAGTAGTGTGGGATGTGCATAGACTCGAAAACCTTACAGACATTTTCATTTGCATTTGGTAGGGAGACTGTACTGGATAGAGATCTGTATCAAGATTATATTGTGTAATTTTCATAAGACGTCTTCTCTCACACTGGATATATATTCAGCCATTCCTCTTCTAATATGTTTTACTAATTATAGTAGCCACAGGACTTGAATGACTGTTATGATATCCAATGAATATGATCAGGGTACTCAACCATTGGACTTTTCTGTAGTGCTAGTCAGGCTAGTCACTACTACACCATCCCGGCTGCATTACAAGCATAAAGGGAGGGATAGGAGTAGAGAAAAAAGGTTACGAAGAAAAAGCTATAGATTCGAAAATTCAAGATTTTATTAATAGATGGTTCGACATGGAACCAAAACTAGACGAGATGATAACCAAATCCATAATGCAAATGGATAGATAGTCGGGGCCATGGCCACGCGCTTAAAGAAGCGATCCCAGAGCAATGCAGGGGAGACCGAGACCGATGAGGTCACCCTCCTGCAATACATCAGTATGAGGGGTCAAGAAGGGGTCAGGTGGTTGATTGCTTACAGTGTCGCTGCCGCTGCCCTGGCAGCAGGCGGCAGTCTGCTCGCACTGGTCGTTGAGCAAGTTTTGCAGGCCGACAAGGTCAAGGGCTATAGATATCAGAGCCAGTTCTTATCCTATAGCGAAATACATACCCTGGAGGTCAAGTGGGGAGCAATCGTCGGCCAGGCCAATACCCTGGGAGCCGGATCCAGAGCCAATGAGGCCGCTCAAGAGGCCAGACAGGAGACCGCTGTCGATGTCGGTGGAGTCACCGGCATAAGTGGCCTTGTTGCAGCAGGAGAGCTGGTTGCCGCTACCGCAGGAGTCGGCTCCCTGAGAGACAGTCATGCCAGCAGGGGCAGGGATATGGTTGACAGCGCGGCCGCGGACGGAGGGCTGAGCCACAACCACAGTGGCAAGAGCGAGAGCAGCAGCAGCAGTGAACTTCATTGTGACGGTGGAGTGGTGACTCGAAAGAGTGCTAGAAGATGGATTTGAATCGAAAGATAGAAGTAGCTTGGTGATTGAGCGAATGGCTGATGATGATGAGGATGAGAAGAACGAGGGTTGAACAGGGCTATTTATGCCTTTGTATTGCCAGATCGTACCTGACCCCGTCTGAGGTTGAACATGGCTAGTTTCGCTAGATGTCGTCGCATTCGTGGCAGGCTTACTGTTTGCGTTAATAGTAGAGTTGCATTCAGAAGGTCAGATCAGGCACAAGAGAGGCCCTGCGTAAGATTCTGAACGCTGACGTTGCATTTCCAACCCTCCAACTGGGTCCTCGATGGAGCCTATCTCACGATCTAGTGTGGAGGGCATACAGAGGTTACACAAGCCGTGTGGTAAGCCGTGTGGTGACAGCCATCCCTTGCTTGGCGCTCCCGGCAGGCTTTTTAGCCAGCGTCGCATCCCGCATTCTTAGCCGTCGTCTGGGAGCCTTAGCCGGGAACGCCTTTCCCGGTTCCTGGTGCTTGTTGAGGGTCAATTCATCCGTCTTCGGTGCCGACCGGCTTCGTTGCTCATTTTTTTCCTCGGGCTCACCGATTAAACACCGATAGACAAAGGTGATAGCTACATCAGTTGTTTTCAGATGTCTGGGAACGTAATGTGTCCCCCAGAAGGTCTGAATTTCGGCATGACTGCAGCATTCTGCCAGGCGGTAGGTAGACTTCGGCGTGATCATTGTGTCCACTTCGCCAATGTATAGTAGGGCAGGGGTGCGAATCCTCGGATGATACAGATCTCTATACATGGGATGGCCGAGCATAAAACCACTGTATGCGACGACAAACCTGAGCGGTGGGTGAGTGGTCTGCCAATGTAAGCCAAAGAATCGGTCGAATTACACAAATCCTATACCCACACTGACGCCAAAATTAAGGCCGCGATCTCGCTCCTCCAGTAAGGATGCGATGATCATCGCCAGGGTAGCACCGGTCGAAAATCCAATTATACCAGCAACCGGATTAAGGTGCTCCAGCTGCTTTAGCACACGCTTCACACTCTGTTCCAGGCCCGAGATCCGCTGGCAGTCAAAAATCCCATACCCCCAAACCTTGGACTCCATATCTGGGCCGTTCACGTCGAAAGGTGCTTCACTGTAATGGAGCTTGAAATGTGGTAGTGATCGGTTGCTCTGAGACCCACCTGCATTGAGGGCCTCTTGGAGGAAGTGCGTTTTGCGATGGAACATATCAATCGATTGACCATGGCCTACAGACGGGTCAGTGCTGGTACATGGCCTGGATTACTTGGTTCTGACCATGAAGCATTAGAATGTTGGCCTGTTCACCAGTATTCGAGATATCTCTGCTATCTGCATAGTTACGTAAGTAGCCTAACGGCGACAGCTGAATTCCTGTCATTTCCAAGATGATGAGGTATCGACTTTCTCGAGTAAGTGTCTACAAAGCCTAGATCACACTGCCATTAGTAGAAGGAAATGTGCAAAATTGCGTAGGAACTACGTCGAGGTGACGGAGAGCGGTTAAGTTGACCGAAAATTGTTCATCATTGCACCTCATTGGCACAAGGATTGGACATCCTAATTGTTGGTGCATTCCATATGTTTCAGTTGAATGCGGATTGAGATACGGCGGCGTACAAGTAACTGTTATTCGCCTATTGAAGCCTAGTGTTAGGGTCCTAAGGCATTTCTGCGCCAGCTATCCACAGCATGGCACATGCAATTCGACTTTAACAGGTGCCATAGCTGGATAGAAACTATAGTCTTGAATGAGCAAGCCTCGTCAATCCAATCCCCAGACACTTCGTAGATGCCCGAAAAATAAGGCTCAAAGGGTCCAAGCAGTGGCACGGCACGCAACCGGTACGTTCTGGAATGCAGCTGTGCATCTGAGCAGACAGTCCATTCTAGGAGTCATGTGATAAGCCACAGCATGACTTCCCTCTTATCAGAAGACCAGTGTCGATAGGTATGCCGAAGAGGCGAGAGTAGACGCTTTGGAGAAGTAGAAGTGATTAGAAGAAGGGAAGGAGATGGAAGCTAGAAAGGGATCTGTCACTGCCTCAGGCACTAAGGCGGTGGAGGGCGGTCGGGACCCTTCATTGGGAATCCCCGCAACTTTGCCAGCTCAACGACGTCAGCCTCTCCCAGTCTCATCCTCGCCATCATGAAGCTCGTTTATCTAGGAGTAAGTAAATGGCGGAAGCTCCCTGTTCATCGTTCTTACTGTCTGACCCCGATCATCCTGACAGATTCTCCAAAATGCTCAAGCTCCCGCCGTGGAGCTCTGCGCCGAGCGCGATCTCAGCAGCTACTCGCGCTTCACCAAAGGCAGCGTCAGCGAGTTCATGACGATGTTCAGTAAGACCGTCGCCGAACGGACGAAGCAAGGACAGAGACAGGACATTCAAGAGCAAGGCAAGTCGGCGTCCCTCGGTGTCATATTTCCATCGCCTCTGCGGCAGCCCCTGACCGCCGGTCGCCTACAGATTTCACATTCCACGTCTACGCGCGAACCCAAGGCATCGCCGGAGTGATCATTAGCGACAATGAGTATCCATCCCTGGCTGCTCACCAGATCCTCTCGAAGATGCTCGACGAGTTCCTCTCCCTGAACCCGAACGCCGCCTCCTCCCGTGACCCGGTGCCTTTCCCCTCCCTTAAGACCTACATCCAGGCGTACCAGGACCCACACCAGGTGGATAGCATCCTCAAGATTCAGAAGGAGCTGGACGAGACCAAGATCGTTCTTCACAAGACCATCGAGAGCGTATGTGCTGCGCGGGAACATATGGGTAGAATGATGCTAACCCCGGACCAGGTCCTCGAGCGCGGTGAGAAGATCGACGATCTTGTGTCCAAGTCGGAGGGACTTAGTGCCCAGTCGAAGATGTTCTACACCTCTGCGAAGAAGCAGAATTCGTGCTGTGTGATCATGTGAGCAGCGCGTGGAAACCAACGCCGGTAACACCCACGTCGAGGATCATCCTCGACATGACCCTCAAGATAGAGGAATTAGTGTGGACCTGGAGATCATTTTTCTGTGAATTATTTGGAAGCGTTCTGTTGCTACAGGCATTCGTTTATGGTTTCTTTGACCAGGCTGGATTTGCAGGCACATGCGGGACAGGTTTGATTTACGGTAGACGAACAAATAAGCCCGAGAGCAATAAAGTGGCTTTATGACTAGAGAGGGCATGGCCGGGCATCAACTTTGAGGTGTAGGGGCGAAGAAAGTAGACCCGAAACCACCAACTATCCAGCTATGCAGTCACTGGATAGTGAGTGCGATGTACTGTGGCCTCGTTCCAGCAGTGGATCCGTAGAGGGGCACATCTGCGATGCTTATCTATGCTCGGGATCCGGCACGGTGATTGGCCCAACCAGTGCGTGCGATGCCTAAGTATAAATATTAGACTTATTTATTGCAAATCATGGGGAGATATTAGCTCATCCTCGGGCCCTAGTCTGCCAGTGCATCGACTTGAGCACTGTAGAGTCCCTGGACTGGCTGCGGCACCACGCGACCACCCCTAAGCACCCAATCGGCCCTAACCCAGGTACAAGGACTTGCCAGCTGGATGTGTCCCTGTCGGACTGTTTCATCTCTTCTCTAACATGCTGTCGAGAAGTCTACGTGTGCCGGGTACCATCCAGTGAACCCTGCAAATCGGCCGATCATGCGGAGGGCGGCCACTCGGTCAGGTACGTTTAGGGCTTCCCAAGGCCGCACCCCCTCCACTCCAAGCAGCAGCACAACGAACAGCATCATTGGCGGTGGATCGCCAACTCACCTGTCCTGGCAATGCCTTCTAGAACACGCTCCACCTCAACCCAAAAAAGCCTCAGTTTCCATTAGGTACAGGAAGTGCCGGCTTGGGTAAGGCGGTGCCTATCGCCAAATCACCGAGGGTACCCGGGTCCCGGCCCGGTTGATGCCATTGGCCCTTGCCGCCGAATATCGTCCCCCCCTCGATTCGACAGCCTGTTTTGTGTGGGAGATTAGTAGGAAGAAGTATTGATTCACGGTGTGTTGGGCAACCTGGTGATGCGGGCGGTCATGACTCTATCTCGTTTCTTATAAGCCTTGAACCCGGGGTTGTCCACTCCTTTTGTCGGTCCCTCATTATTCTCTCTACTCTTTCACTCCTTTTTACCCCGGTTCAGCGTTGCTTTCAGCGGTACATCCCATCTATCTAGGTGAGTGGCTCCCCGCCATTTCCCCCGTCTATACTCATTTTGTATACTAACCACCCCTCAGTATACCACTCCTCTCACGTCGTTCCCTAGCTTCGACTTTCCTTTGTGTCATCTGCATAGAAGTGCTCCGTGTCCAACACTGCCACTACATCTGATTCTTCAATCGGAGCGAGGAGTGGCTCGCTGCTCGTCAGCATGGATTTCGACTTCCCTGTTCATCAGTCCCTGCCCTTCGCGGGGCACCGCAGCCGGTTGGGTGACTTCCTAACGGCGGATGTGATGGTTGCTGCAGGTTCGGCAGCCTTGGTCACTCCCGCTGTCATGATCCTAGACAGGTAGGAGCCTCCTCTCCTGCTCACCTACCTGATAGTGGTACTGACCATCATCCAGACTGGTCGTCGAGAAGTCATCACACAACCAACCTATGCTCCCTGCTTTCCGCCGACACCTCTGGCTCTCCATCACACAGCCTGCCACCTTCCTGACCTCTCGACCCAGTCTGCTCGTCTGGTCTCTCTACACAGCCACCTTTGCGGCTGCCAATGCCACGGAGACCATCCTGGACCAAGTTTACCCTCACGTCGACCACGCCATGGCAGGGGTGGCCACCTTTATGAGCACCTTTGTGGTCAACTCCTCTGTGGGCATCTGGAAAGACGTCAAGTTCGCCCAACTATTCGGCCACAGCAACGCCACCCCTCCCACTCCTGCTCCCAAGACCACGACCTCTGCTGCTCCGTCCCAAAGCAAGATCCTCCGCTCCGTCAGCCGCACCATCCCCTTTGCCACCTACTCGGCGTTCCTGGTGCGCGATGCTCTCACCATCTTCGGCTCCTTCAGTCTCCCCGCCATGGTCTCGGCCTCCATCCCGGACTCTATTGCCTCCAGCGAATACCTGAAGATCCTGTTCGCGCAGCTCGCCATTCCGGCCTCCATCCAGCTGGTCAGCACTCCAATTCATCTACTCGGGCTTGATCTCTACAACCGGCCCATGCAACTTTCGGCCTCGGACCGATTAAGTCGGGTTAGCAGGGACTGGATCGGGGCGTCCCTGACGCGTATGTGTCGGATTATTCCCGCGTTCGGGATCGGCGGGTTCGCCAATACCGAAGGCCGGGCGTTCCTGCACCAGCAATTGCGGCGATGTGAGGACTGATTTTCTGCAATGGCCAATCAAGATGTCAGAAGTCCATTATGATTCTGAATGACTCAAAGCAAATCAGCTCCGTTGCCTGCGATAAGCGCACCGAGAAAATGGGGCCCATCCCCGCCAGGTGGTCGGCGGTCAAATGTTGAGTTTCCCGATCGGGAAACCCATCCGCCCATCGGGAAAAGGGTGACTTTTCCGTACCCTAGCCCTAGCACTTTCCCTTTCCAGCCACCGCCAATCACCACCCTGCCGTACCCGGCCCGGTGTGGCATCCGGGAACGCTGACTTGGCATCTCTCGACACTCATCTTTTTGCTGCTGGCAGCAAACACACAAACCCGGCCACTAGTTACCTACTATCTATCGACCGGATCCCCGCTTCATAGCCTGATCTGACAGGAAACTATCTACTTGTTCGACCTTGACTATCACGAACTTCTGCCCCAAATATCGGACTTTAGATGGGGCATTCGGTCAACTTTCCGAAACCGGATGAGGGGGGAGGGGGGCTATGACGCAGTACTGTGTCGATCTAGGCGCGCTGCCCATCCCACTTGGGGTGGATTATGGATACGCTCTGTGTTTCACCGCCGGACTGGATGCTTCGGCGTTTCCTCTTATCGTTCATGTGTGTGTGTGTGTGTGCGTGTATGTGTGCATGTGAATATTCATCATGTCTCTCGGTGTATATAGGCTTCAATGCTAGAGAGAGCATTACACTATCCTTTTGATCTGAGCAGCATTGCAAGTAGATTCATATTGATTCAAGCAGACGCTCTTAACAACTAACAGAAATCCAACCTACGCAGTTAGTTAGTACTTGGTAATAGAAGAATGCTAAAACGTCACTTCAATCCTTCTATTTTTATACCTCCCAGACACAAATAGATACTTGTTGAAAAAGCTAGATAGCGAATACCTCGGTCCTCGTCAAATATGCCCGACTTGGCACGGACATGGTGTGAGTGTTCGTTTGTGGCTGAGCATAACACACTAACACAATGGCATTATTAGTAGCATACCGATGTGAGTTATTTATGCAGGGCACAGCACTACATCTAGTTACGTAAGCAGTGAAGAATAACTAATCAACTTGCATAACTCCTATGGACTTAATGATTATGAGTTAAGTTGATGCACGGCCACGTCGGCGGTTAACATATGACCATGTTGAAATTTCGAGTTAATGCTCTGTAATACTGTAAGGAGTTACATTTGCTTCTTGGGAATAAGCTTTTTTTCTTTTCTTGTTTGTTGGGGGATTACAGGCAGGTGGGGTGATGTGGCCACTGTGCTTTGCGTTATGGGTGAGACAGGTAAGTAAGTAGGTAACTTTGTTGCATTGATCTCGGAGGATAAGTAGGATCCCATTCGTAGAATGTTAGTCTTTGGTTCGTTGAGATCCTGGGATTGAATTGTTTATTTATCATTAGAGACCACTCTTGGTGGATGATAATATATTTTTTATTGATGGGGATACACGGACTCGCGGTCAGCTTCTGTTTGTTGGTTGGTTGAGGTGGTCGCGGACGACGCTACGGACCGAGCCAGTACTTAATTTGGACTTGGGGACGGTGTCCAGACTCAATGTGCATGTCTCAGTCTTCAATATAGGCGCAATATCCAGGCTTATCGGAGAGAAGGCTTTAGGCTTAGGATGTTGACTAGTTAGTCGAATCAGGTAAAACCTAGTCATGTCCGTGTTGGAAATGGATGTACCCCATCTCGTTGTGTCAATGTGTTGGGTTGGTAGCAGTAGAAGACTAGACAAGGTAAGTACTAAGTAAGCGTGAAATTTGAGCATTTGAATTGGTAGGTGTCAGCTGGCTGAAGAGTCAGTCCATTGGCTCACTTCGAGTGCGCGGACCACCCTGGTTTTGACGGTGCTGAAGACCTGCATGTATCCCACACCAACCATGCAGCTAGTTTATAGTCCTCGACAGCAATTTTGAGGCTTTGCGCCCTCATCTTTTGGATGTATCTGGCAGCGGCATGCATGTGATGCTCTCATAATTGTTGGTGAAGTGCTGGCTAACAGTTGTATACTTACTATCAGTGATCAGATTAGACTGTCATCGAGTGCTCATGCTAGGACGATGTGTAAGTGGCTGCAAGACGCCAAGTAGTGAGGGGTCATCCACTTGCAGGGATATATATGCATGAGTAATGCAAGCTGAGCCGTCTGCTCCCTCACCATGGCGTCGTACTAGTGCACCGACCGAGTCGTCGACTACTCTCACCCCGCTTAATTAATATAAAGCAGACGGGCCAGGGTTGATTGATGCCTGCCTATATACCCCAGTCGCAACTTCACTTCTTGCAAGCCAGATCAACCTGACCATGGTGTCCACGACGCTGACTGCCGCTCTGGCGGGCGTGTTTTCGCATCTTACGTATTTCCGGCGAGGCGAGCATCAACTCTACGGCACCACCTATACGCAGGTTTTCGGTGTCCTGTACGCCACTGCGGTCGCTTACCTGCATGTCTCATGGGGAACCGCATGGCGAGAGGCCCTGGTCACCGTCTCCCTGCATGCAGCATCCTACCTTCTTGGAACCTTCAGCAGTCTACTGCTCTATCGTCTGGTGTTTCACCCATTGGGATCGTTCCCAGGTCCATGGCTCGCCCGCGTTTCGGATCTGTGGCTCGTTTCGCAGATGAAGAACAACAATAAACATGTCAAACTGGTTGAACTGCACGAGAGGTACGGGCCCTACGTCCGTATTGGACCCTCGACTCTATCTGTCATCGATCCCAAGGCTGTCAACATCATTCATGGCCCAGCTTCGCGCTGCTTGAAGAGCGGCTGGTACGACCACTCATACCCCAACAAGTCATTGCAGACAAGCCGAGACCCGGCCGAGCACCAGCAGCGTCGGAGATTATGGAGTACCGCGTTCGGCAGCAAGCAGCTGCGCGGATATGAGCATCGCGTGCGCAAGTACCGTGAGCAGCTCGTAGATCAGTTGATGAAGAGGGAGGGTCAGCCAGTGAATGTGACCAAGTGGTTCGACCTATACACCTATGACGTGATGGGAGACCTGGCATTCGGGCAGGGTTTTGGTTGTCTCGAGCAAGGCGAGTATCATTGGGCCACACAAATCATGATGGAGACAATGGACTTTGTTGGCAGCTCCCTACCCATGTGGCTCTTCCGTATGGTCTTGGAGGTTCCTGGACTGAAGAGGGCATGGTATAAGTTCCTGGATTACTGTGAGATGAGGTTGGTGGAGAGAATGAGGGTGAGCTGTCATCGCACTTGCGTCGCTAGCACCGAGCTGACCAAACAGAGTGAGCCTGATGTTCCCGACGTCAGCGCAGCGCTTCTAGCACCCTTCAAAGGCAAAGAGCCCGGGAAGGAGGACCAACAGTGGCTAGGAGGAGATTCACGGCTGATTATTGTTGCTGGAAGGTGAGTGCTCCCGTGGAAGTAATTTCAGATGCCTGTCTCACGCGGATAGTGACACCACTGCCTCGACTCTTGTTGCTTTGTTCTATGAGCTCGCCCACCGTCCCGACGAGGTTGAGAAGCTTCGTGCCGAATTGGCTCCATTTGTAAATAAGGATGGCGGCCTTGGAGACTTTTACGACAGCGACATTGGCCACTTGGGACACCTCAACGGGGCCATCAACGAAGCATTGCGTCTATATCCGGCAGTTCCGTCGGGAGTACCACGGATAATGCCTCCTGATGGCATTACTGTGAACGGAGTGTCTATTCCAGGCAACACCATAGTTATCAATCCAACCATTGCGATGGGACGGTGTAAGTCAAGCCCGGTGGGCGGAGCGACGAAAAATCCAGTGGACTAACGACGGACCAGCGGAATTGAGCTATAAAAAGCCGCTAGAGTTTATCCCCGAGCGGTGGTACCAGCAGGCCGAGCTGATCAACGATCAGTCGGCTTTTGTCCCATTCAATATTGGTATGTGTCCTGCCTGGAGTAGAGGAAACCAGATTAGGATCGTTGACTGACGGTGAATGATTGTGTTTAGGTACTTACAACTGCATTGGCAAGCCATTGGCACTTCAGAATCTGCGGGCAACGGTGGCACATCTGGTCACGACTTTTGATGTGAAGTTCGCGCCAGGAAATGCGGAGAAAGATTTGATCAGACGGTCGAAGGATTGTTTTGTCATGTATCATGGTGAACTGGACTTGATGTTCACCCGGCGAAAGTAAATAGTCGGGGACGGTGGTGAGCGACCGCCGTTGATGAGAGTGTCGATCGCACGGGGGAGGAATTATTACGTCGGTGGTGTTGGGCAGAAGGATCAAGGGTGTTTCAGCTCCACCCGTGTTTCAGAATGCGATGGCAATACGGCAGAAACGAGGCAGTCAGCAAAGAAGCCCCAAGTACGTAATTAGTTGAAGTCAAGAACAACATTAGCTAGTTATCTTTGGATGATCGGGTCAGCCAGGTGGTCGATCTTGCTGCCTGGCAGTGCTGTCACTCGACCCAGTACTTTAAGCAGACAGTGGGCACTCCGACTTGCGCATGATGCACCTCCAATGAGGCAAGGGCGATAGTTGCCAGGCACCGATCCGCTCGATCAAGCTTTCGGGAACGGCGGAACCGCGTTGGCCAGTAGATCCGTCGAGACCAGGTGAGGAGCCCACCTGGTAGGCAGAACAATGACTGGTAGCGAAGACTGGGCACAATCATGAGGATGAAAAGATATATCCGGCAAACCAAACAGTGTGTAGTATGGTGTAGAAAAGTGGAAAGTGAAAAAGTATGCTGCCTGGTCGCGAGAAGCGAGAAGAGAGAAGAGAGAAGAGAGTGTCACGACGCGGGTTGCTTTCATTCTTTCCCTCTCTCGTGATCGGCGTATTCGGCGTATCTGTCGAACAATGCGAATCTTACCGACCACATCCTGGCACTCAACCACCCAATTACTTAGTCATGGGTGGTTTTTGGTGTTTTTGCTCTTTCATCATCAGACCCACTCTTGTCCCATCACCTGCCAATCATATACTCTCCAGGCACACCCGCAGCCAATGGGGCTACTCTGCCAGGCTTTTGGGAAAGATGCCCGCGTAATTCCAGCAAGCACCGTACCTTTTTAGTTACCATACAGGCATACAACAATACTGGCACCAGCAAACCAACCCAGTCAGCAGCAGCAACAATCATCCAACCAGCTGAACCACTTGACCCGTTTATAAATAAACAGTGGAGCCAAAAACCGGCTTGAATTTTTCATCGCTGCGGGCTTATCAGCATTCTTATTCCGAACTTCTCCATCCCAGCGTGTCTCATCCATCCCTCCTGTTTCTCTTCTTCCTCCTCCTCTTCTTCTCTTTTCCTCTTCTCTTCTGCCGACCGTAGTATATTTACACTCTTACCTCCTTCCTCTCTTCCCCGTCCGATTCCCCGCCCCAAACAAAGTGATGCATTAACTCGGATCCGCTTATCCGCTTTACACACCACATTATACACATACACTCTGATCAACTCCATCCACCAAATACACCCACATCCGCAGCTAGCATCCAGCACAGACCACGGCAATTTGCGATCGCTGAACGCCACCATCTATCATATTTATCAACAAACATTCGAAATCATATCGATATCTGTCTAGAGTCTGCGTGTATACCACACAAGTCGCTTCATCATGACCAAGCTCAGTGATTCGGCCATCATCGTCATTGTTATCGTCGTGTGTCTCGCCCTCGTCTCACTTGGGGCCGCACTCACAAAACAATTCTGGCCTGAGGCCCCCCAACAACGCTACAACTATCCCGCCGAGCAACAATCCTACATGCGAACCGTCCGTCTGAAGAACCTGGGCATCTTTCAACGCGAGTCGATGAGTATGCCCGGGAAGATGCCCGCCGCAGCAGCGAGGGATGTAGAGTCAGGCTGTACGTTTACCCGTCAAGTTAACCCTTGCAATCGGAAGATTCGATTATTCTAGATGTGGAACTAACGAATCACTCGTTGCACAGACTCCGAAAATGAATCGTCGCATTACTAGTCGCATCCCTACCTTTCCTTATTCCTCCGACGTTTTCTATTGATATCCTCGCACTCCTTATCGCGCCCATTCTCGACTCGTTGCCTACTCTCTATCTCTCCCTAAAAGCGAAATTCCCCCAGCAAGCAAGCATCGCGATAACCCACTGCATGTACGATTGACGATTACGCATTACCACCTTGATTTTGACTTATTGATTGATGGACGGGACCTGACCTGACTGTTGTGTCTTTGCGCCATGGTGCGGTGTTGAATGGCGTTGTATTATATCCTGGTTTTTTGGTATATAGGTTGCTTTTCAGTTGTCTGTTCGATTTGTGATTATTTATCTACCTTCTTGTTCATTCCTTGAGCTGATTGTTTCGGGTGGTGGATTGAATACATACCGCTTACATATATACACCTATACGGTCAACAACATGGCTTTCAACATACTTTCATTTTGAAGCTTTACACTACTCATCAATTGCATACATAACACCTATCCACCCCGACTACTCCACATCCTCTCCAATCTCCTCTCCATCTCCACCCCGGGCCAATAATTACACTCCCTCCTCATCTCCCTCACAAACCCCCTCAACCTCTCCCTCTCCTCCTCATCATCAAACCACTCCGCACACACCACCACCGCAAACGACGCAATCACCATCCCAGCAGGCGACTGCCGATTCGATACCGCCACGCCACAAACCTCCCACACAGCCTCCTTGACCTCCTTCTCCATCTCCATCATCATCCTACTCCTCCCAACCCTCACCCCCAACAACGAAGGATTATACATCGCCAACAGAATCCGAACAAACTCCAAACTCTGCGCCGCCACAATATGACATCCATCCAAATACCACCTATTCGGGAACCCCCAACTATCACCACCATCATCAGAATAAACCGCCATAAATGACCCCGGACACATCCTCACCCACTCATCCCTCCTCTCCACCAGCCGCTTATAAACAACGACACTCCTCGCCGCCCCCTCATCAAAACAAAACTGAATCACATGCGCAGCCAGTATCAACAACGCATTCACCCACTCATGATCCCCCGACGTAGCCCTTGGTGCAGGATACAAGTCCAATATATCCAGCGGAATGCGAAACGGCCGCTGCTGCGTAAACGCCATATGGAATTCCTGGCGCACACCTACCCAAAACGCACTCTGCCGCAAACCCCAAGAAGTAGAACCACCACCACCCGTAAGACTAAGCGTCGGCCGGGCCTGCGCTTCAAGAAACACCTGCAAGCCACGGATAGCAGTGGTGGTGGGATGGGGGTGGAAGGGCGCTATACCATACAGCTTATTAGTATTGATCCCCTTTTATTTATGGTGTAAAGAGGGAGAAAATACATACTATCCAACTCCTCATAAAACCTCAACGTCACCACCGCGGCAAGGAGATTCTCATCCAGAATGGCATTCGGCTCGGTGCTCACGGAGCGGAGATGCGCGATGCATCGGTTATGGTAGTGCAGGGTGGAGGGTTCATCGATAGTCAGGCCGTGGGAGAGGCCATATCGGCGGGTGATTTGTAGTTGTTGGTCTCGTGGAAGAGTGCTGAAGTGGCGGGCTGAGGTGGAGAGGACGGCGTCGAGGAGTGGTGGGCTTGTTCGCGCGCGTTGGGGGACGATGGTGGTGAAGCTTTGGGAGGGGTCGCCGATGTCGAACTGTTGTGTTGTTTTTGTCGGATGAGTTGAGGTGGAGTGGGTGGATGGGGTTGGGGATACATACCCATTTACCTAAGGTTTCGGAGAAGTAGCGCAGTAGGCACGCTTCTTCAAGGGTGAGGTGGGCTTGGGGTGAATGTATGATTGTGGGAGAGGGATTGGGCTCGAGGAATGTGTTTGGGGATGGTGCGGTGCATGGGATGAGAGTGGGTGTTGTAGGGCTGGTAATGGGGTCTCGTGTGGTTGAGTCGGAAGTCTCATGCTGGTATAGACCTGCCACGGCGGGTGTCTCGTCGACATACTCGAACGATACATCTGCGTATTTGGTCTTAGTATTCTTTCGCAGTTGCAGCGTATCAACACACCTGATGTGGTTGGACTGCGCTGCTTCTGTCCTCCCGAGGCATGCTCGTATTCAGCGCTCGTGCTGTTGAGGAATCTCAGCTTGGGTCGCGAGCGGATGCATCTTCGTCCAGAGGTTCGACATCTGGTGCATGCTGGGCGGTTGTCGTCACCTGGTGGTGGCTGTATTAGCTGTGTGTTTGTGCTTGGTAGGGTAGGGTTTGGGAGTTTACATTTCAGATGATGTTCTGTTTATGGTCAAGATGATATATATTTAGCGTCGGTAGAGAGAGAGTCATCGGGACAGAACATACTTCGGCAATGCTGGCTACTACGAGTCAGTTCACTATCATTCAAAATCGCGACACAGGGTAAACATACCATGGATCGCGCCTTGTAGACATCAGTAGCAGGTGGTTGTGGAATTGTTGAGGGCAAGTAGAACAAAGAGCAGACTATCTGTCGAAACGGGAGGGGTTCGCCGAGGGTTACCCATTCGGTCAGCAGTTCCACCCCGCATGGGCTGCTTGCTTTCTATGCGGGGTTCACCACCATGATTCTTACCGATTCTGAGCTTCATTCCTCTTTCCTGTTGTGAGATAATCTAGGGAGACTTCAATTGCTGAGGTTTTCTACACGACTGTTAGACTTCGCTCTAGATGATCCTGGAATTGCGGGGTAGAAACCCTCCTCCGTAGATCGGTCCAAAGTGCTGCATACTGTATGGCTCTTGAAGCCTTCGTATAGCGAAAGGGAGGCTGTACAACTGGACAGATACATTTCCTGCAGGATAGAGGATATTGTCACATACAAGGCTCTCTTAAAACCGCAATGATATTGCCGTGGCTGTGAAGCAGCGTCTGCTACAGCAAGGGGGCCAATGACCACAGGATGGGAGCAAGCATGACCCACCTACAGTACAGATATGTTCATACCAAAGATCGCAATCTAGCTAGAGTCCAGTTTTCTCAGGCGGATTCCAGAACTACGAAGACTTGCAGAGGTGCTCTAGGGTCTGCTCGCTGCGACGCATCGCCAACTGGTTGCTGCATGCCACCGCTTTGGCGCCATCTCGCCGGCACTAACCGTTTTGGGGTTTATTCGGCGAGTGCTTCCATTTCGATTGTGGCAGTATACTACTACATCACTGCAGCATCAGTATCCAGCATCATAGCCAGAAGGATATATAAACTCGCTCGATTATGCCGTTTTTAAGAATGAATCAAGCATTTAGAAGTGAAATTCTTGACAGCTATTGTTATTGAAGATGTACATCCCCTTAATCCTCCTTCTACTCACCCTTCTCGTCATCTACTACTTGATCATCCCTATCGTCAATTACTTCCGCGACCCTAAAGGCTTCCGCAAATACCCCAACCTTACGTTCTGGTCCGGCATATCAGACCTACCCCTCGTCTACTTCTCTCACAAAGGCATCCGCTATAAGCGCCTCCTCGAAGCACACAAAACCCACCCCGTTGTCCGCATCGGACCCAACTATCTCTCCTATGCAGACCCAGAGGCCATCAACGACATCTACGGCCACGGGACAACCTGCACAAAAGACATATTTTACTCCACACTCGCTGGGTCACATTTCCACCTTGCCGACGTCGTCGACAAGGGCGAACATGCACGGAAGCGTAAGGTCCTATCGAGCGCATACGCGCTCAAGAACCTAGAAACCTGGGAGTACAAGGTTGCCGACATGACGCACCGTCTGATCAAAGCGTTCGACGCACGCTGCACTGATCCATTACCAAAGGGCCATCGTCCACTCGAAAAAGACCTCACAATTGACTATCGCATGTGGACTAACCTGTTCACCATAGCTGCTATCGCGAACATCGGTCTAAGCGAGGACATCAAATTCCTCGACCAGGGGAATGATCTAATCACATCAGAGTCCATGGACGGCAAGACAAAGCGGGTACACTTCCGAGACTGTCTCTTCGCCACAGGTTCAGCTACAGCTACTCTGGTCTGGTGCTACGACTGGTACAAGACCCTGGTGCGAGCAAGCAAGATCCTGTCTCCGACATACAACCAGAAATGGAAACTCAACAAAGACTGGGACGGAATTGTCTACAATCGCGCCACGACACGATGGAAGCGTTACCAAAATGGTGAACAGCTCGATGATTTCTTCTCTGCGCTAATGGAAGATAAATCTAATGTCCCTCACAATTTGGAATGGGGAGAGATCGTCGCAGAAATCAGTATCATGATGAATGCGGGGTCTGATACAACTGGGATCTCGCTGAGCAATGTTATGCTTCTTCTCCTGAATAACCCAGGATGTCTGGAGAAATTGCGGCAAGAGATTGACGGTGTCCTAGACGACGACGAGATCGTCGCACCCTACGACAAAGTCAAGCATCTTCCCTACCTTCGGGCCTGTTTGGACGAGAGTCTCAGACTGTTTCCGCCCGTGTCGTTCGCGCTTCCACGACGGACTCCGCCTGAAGGTACTATGATACTCTCTGACCATATCGCGGGTAACACCTCGGTCGGGATGTCGGCATACGTGGTCCATCGCAATGAGTCCATCTTTCCGGATCCTGAGGTTTTCCGTCCGGAGAGGTGGCTTGGAGAGAAGGGGAAGGAGTTACAGCCGTATTTTATCCCGTTCAGTACCGGTGCTAGGGGATGTATTGGTCGCAATATTAGCTACCTTGAGCAGACTATATTGGTTGCTTCGCTAGTCCATCGGTTCGACTTTGCTTTGCCGTATCCAGGTTGGGAGCCGGAGAGGCACGAGACGACAAATCTTGGTTCCGGGCCGATGCCGATGAAGATTTGGAGGAGGGAGGTGGCTGCGTGAACTGGCTTGACTTGACTTTTATTGTCATTTAGATGATCAAGATAGTGCGGTCAACTAAACTCTTATTTACAAAGGACGTGGCGGATAGAATATATCTCAATCAACTGCGAATATTAGGTAGAGGTGAGATGTTTTGCACCTCTACCATGCGAATAATCAGAGATGATAATTAAAATAAAAAAAAATCCGATATGCTAAAGGCTTCGGGAGCTATGATGGGCAATTTCCCGTCAATAACGAATACAATTGCTCCGATGTATCTGAGAGCAGTAGTTTCAGCCAGTAGCGTATAGATCGATTTATGAGCAGATGAAGCTGGGATCACTAAAGAGGGCTGCCATCCATTCTCAAGTAGACGTATTTGAGATTGTCACCAATATTCCATGATGTAAAAATAATGGATTAAAAGACCTTGTGATGGCCATAACTAGTCCTCAATCCAATGTTCTAGAATATAATTCACGTAACATTTCTATGTACAACCTGGGTGGAAAAACCTACGGGTCTTGAGTTGGATTATGGAAAGTCTACAAATGACATTTTTACGCTTTCTATATCTGGTCTTATTTAGGTGTATTTTCTGTTTGTATTTCCTGTTTCTCTTATGATACAAGCAAATTGCGAGCCATATGACTGGCGCCAAAGCCCTAGTTGAATGGAGCATGGCACCGAGCTGAAGAATGATGAAGGACTATGTAAACATGAAGCAGCTAAGACAAACCATCAGCCCCATATGATGTTAAATCATTCTCTACCAGCCGATTTCTCAAGATGATAGCGTCGTACCAGGATATGTGTCTAATCGGATAATAAATCGTCATCTTTGCCGCGCCGCTTTCCCTTTTTATAACTGGTGGTTGCAAGCGTAATGAGTCCCAGGCGGTTAAACTTGCCATTGATCATTGATAAGACTTTATTCGAGACAGGCTCCACTGGCGATTGCATAATCAATGCCTTGAGAAGATCACATCCCAAGACTCGGGGAACACATTTCCCTTTCGATGCCTGTCTTCTACACCTCTCCAGAACAGCGCTGTTTATCCAGTTCACAACAACATTCCAGTCTTGTTCCTTCTTTACCAGCAGTTCCCAGACTGGCAGATACTTATCAGGATAAACGTCAGCCACCGCCATGGGCAATGCGCCCCACACCCTAATTAGTTGACAAAACACTCTTAGGCTTTTCGTCGGCAGATAAAGTCCACAAGTCCCAATCCTTATCATAGTAGTCTCCGATACTATCATTTCGAAGCTCAAGTTCGCGAGAAAACATTCTCTTCAACTTTGTCGCTATTTTCTCCAAGGCAGCTGCTAGCATCATGGCCAGGCGATAGTAGTCAGCGGAGCGATTAGAGACCTCATCGAATGAACTAGCTTTACAGGCCTCCGAGTACATGTCCATCTGGCGAAGATCTATCATGAAGTCTTCGAACCAAGCTCGGATGGTATCAGCGGGGATCTGAGAGGTAGACCCAGCATCTGGATTTTCATTCTCCGGCTGAGACTTAGATAGACCCTTGGAAAGGTCGGGTTTCGCTCTATGCGATCGTGCGTATTCCATTTTCTTCTTCATAGCTTCATGTTTGGCCCGCCTGGCATCGTGAGATTTCTTCGCTGCCTTTTGGCGAAAAGTTTTGGGCCATTTATCAGCGGCTTCGGAAGGCATTGTTGTTGTAGTGGGCTATGGTCCTGCGTGGATTGAGGAGGATGTTTCTGTAGCTGCGTAGGTAGATCAGGTATGGTAGAGGTAGGTGACAAGGAGAGGGGGAGACTTGGTGTTCAGGAGACGAAGAGGGAAAGGAAAAGAAGAAGGAAATAGGACGTATTTATAGGCAGGGCAAGTTTGAGGCTTCCCTTAATTTTTTTCACTCAAATGGTCAGTTTACCCTCACTAGGCAATGATCGTAGCTCTCATTGACTTGCTGGGGTGAATTATAGTATTCATGAAGTCAAATCCGGCCTCTACTTCGACCCTTTTTACTTCCCTGTTATCTCAACTTCAGTCTTGAGTATAGATCCATAAACTCACTAACATCGCCATATTACTAAGTACATAAGAGCCGCATAGCTATCGGATTATATTCCATCATCCATCCAACCAATTGAGGGACCCTTCTCCACCATTCCACCTGCTATCCTAGAATCCATAAACATCTTACTCAAAATCCGTCCTTGAAGTGACCCCATCCCACTCGTCCCAAACCCTCATCAAGCCCTGACAAGTATTCCTCACAATACCAAACGTATCTGACCCCAACGGCAATCTCAACGGCAACTCCATCCCCTTACAGCTCCCCTCCCCCTTAACAGCCTCAACCACCAACTCAGCACCCTTCTTCGGATCCCCCGGCTGGTTGCCACTCCACTCCAAACAACCGTCATACGCTCGCTGATTCATCTCGTCATACTCCGGCAAGCGATTCGGGTTTCGGTACTGAACTACCCCGGCTGCCATGACCTGCGTGCGAAAATGCCCGTACGTCAGAATCGACACCCGGATATTAAACGGCGCCACTTCCGTCGCCAGAACCGGCACCATACCCTCGATCATCCCTTTGGGGCCCACATAGGTCCCCGCACAGGGAGCGGCGTAGTAGGTGCCTACGGAGCCGGAGAAGAGGATGGTTCCGGACTTGCGAGCACGCATGTGGGGGAGGAGCGCGCGGGTGAGGGTGAAGGGGCCGAGGGCGTTGATGCGGATAGAGTTGAGGAGGAATTCGTCTCTATAATTTTGTCAGTGAAGATAGTTATAAACCCAAGAGTGTAGGGACGTACGTCATTTCTTCAAAGGTAGATATGTCAATGTATCCCGCGTTGTTGACTAGGACGTCTATTGGTCCGTACTTGTCCCAGATGTCTTGGGCTTGTTTCTTTATCTCTTCCTCTGGAGATGCCATATCAAGTTCGTAGACTGCTGCGCCGGCATCTTTGAGGGAGGAGAGACGGTCGGTACCGCTGATGCCTTTGCTGCCGCGGGCTGTGGCGATGGCTTTGTCGCCCTGTTGATTTGAATTAGCTCACCATGCGTCCAATTTCGTTGCAGTACTTGTGTACAGAGAAACGCACCTTATCAAGAATAGCCCGCACCAAGGCCTCCCCCAGGCCAGAGGAGCAGCCGGTAACGAGCCAAGTAAGTTGCTGTCCGGCCATGATGTTGGAAAGAAGAGCGTAGCTGAAACAATGAGATAGTAATCTACAGCCTCGATCCGTTACTCCGGTCTCATATATATTAGTGGGATTACTCTTATTAGAACCCCACCGTCAGCTTGGATAGTGTGAAAGGAGATCACGTGATCTCGGACCTACCTCGCGTAGTTAGCTAGCTAGCCTACACACACACAATATCATCCATATTGCTGTCACAGATAGCCTTCGATCTAAACAGGTAGTACTGTCTGGCCAGTTAGCTAATTGGTAGTCTTGTTGGTGCCGGATTCAGATTCCATACCCCGCTGTCAGGTTGGACGCCTTAGACTTGGCCTTGTATGGATCATATGCGAAGTGGAACCATCTACGATGCGCATTAGCGTTTAGTGTAATGCAAGGAATATGCATCTCCACGGCAGACGAGGAATAGGATGAAAGTAGATGACGTCAATACTGATCTGGAAAGAAGGTGACTTTCATTGAAGATGAACACCATGGTTGTCGAGCCCACTATGCTTCTTTAGGGTCGGGCCGAGGTCAGCCCCAGCGATGACTACCATCACCGGCACCACAACTTTCGACTATGCGTTCGGACTTCAGCATGAAGCCGGTTCTTAAGGTAAGTAGGTTAGTATTTATTTGCTGCTGACGGGCTCTTAGGGGAAGGTGGAGTTATATGGAGCGACAGAGATGTTTTGAAGGTATCTTCTTTGCAAACATTATGTTCTCAAGTCCCAGGAAAACAAGCAAGGTATCAACATGATATCAGAACCAATATACAACCACTAGACCTAAACCCAGCCGGCCAGCCGGCCGCAAACATCAACAAAGAAAGTAACTAGGAGAGTGAGACAAGAGAGATCACTCCACAATCTCAAACTTCACATCCCTCTCCACTCCAAACGTCTCCTTCCAATCATCCCACAACCTCGTCAACTCCTGCACATACGTCTCATGCAACTTATCAACATACTTCTCATCCATATCCCACCTCTGCTGCACAACCTCAATCGGCTTGCCGACAACAACATTGAGTGGCTTCCTATGCGGACAAAACAACCCAAACCTGCCCTTCGAAAACGCAACCTTGTGACCGACCGCAAACTCCCACGCTCTCGCGACCAACCCTAGTGCCGACGACGACTTTGTATCAATCATATCAAACAACTCGTTCTCTCCGAACGCAATAACAGGGACTAGATCCGCCCCTGTCTCGACCGCAACGCGGACGAAGCCCTTGCGGATCTTGATCACAATCCCCATGGTGCCCGGCTTGGCGATGTTATACTCGCGGCTCCCGCCGACAGTGATGGCGATGGAACGGCCCATGCCTCGCTCGTCATGTCCACCGCGAGTGAGGTGCTTGATGCATGAGGTGCGGGACACGCCGCTGGCCCCTGTTGCGAGAAGGTATTCGCGCAGGAAGGGTTGGTAGAAGAAGCCGTCTTTGACGAGCAGCGTGTTGGTTAGTCCCGGGAAGAGGGAGGAGAAGCCAACGCTGTCAGCGGCGAAGGAGCCAAATGCCCCGCGCAGGGCAACGCCGTGCGGGTGGTAGCCGAAGATGTATTTCCTCCTTGGAGATAGAGGAGCGGAGCGGTAGAGAGTGAGAGGGAAGTAGGAGGCGAAGGCCTTCCAGATGAAGGATGTGCGGAACGCGTCGTTGCGGTAGGGCAAGGTACCGGATTTGTGGGCCTTGGCGAAGTATTTGATGTAGAGAATGTAGAGGAGGACGACCAGGCGGAGACGGGGAATTAGAAGGAGAGAGTAGCCCAGTAGAGGGAGGTGAAACCAGGTGGTGCAAAGGAGGGTCATGAGGATGGATTCGGCCATGTCGGTTAGGAAGGGTCTGCTGGTTGGTCAGATTAAATTTTATAGTGTTGTGGGGGTGGGATAAGGGAAGGAAGAGGACTTACTTGGATGCGCCTTTGCCTTCGGTCTTGGGCATCTGCGCAGTTTGGAGGGTCTGGCCTGCACGATTCTTGATCTCATACAATCGTGGCTGATTCTCTGGGTCGGCTTCAGGGATGTGGATCGCTGTCGCTTTCTCCGGGTTACGTGCCAACTCTGCAATCTTCTCTGCAGCGGCGACACGACCTTCTTTCTTACACAGCTTGGCAATGTCGGTTGCCTTCTCCTTGTAAGAGCGGTTGCTCATCACCTTCAGCAGTCCTTTGCTCAACTCTTTAGCGCTGATATCGGGAGCCCGGCTTTTGTTGCCGTAGACTCCAATGCCTAGCCATTCCGCCCGAGCAGCGTTCTCATAGCAGTCTTGCCAGGCTGGAAGGACAATGTGGGGAACGCCATTTCTGAAAAGGTTAGGATACAGCTCAGAATGCGAATTTGAGGGGCAACTTACTGAATAGCTTCATACCACGAGTTGGCACCGCCGTGGTGGACAGAGCAGACAATCTGGCCCGTCTGCAACATGGCCATAGGCTCCACCTCGAACCATGGGCGGATCAGCACGCTTCCTTCGTCGGTCTCCTTTTTGAGAGGCTCGATGGAGCGGCTGTAAATGTCTTCTTCATCATGTGGATGCTTGGGCAACTTCCACAGGATCTGCACCTTCTCGCCCTTCCAGGCGTTGAGAAATCCCTTCAGGCCAGTTGCAATTTCCTCAGCAACCTTGGGATCAGGTGCATACAAGGTTCCGAGATTGACGAGGATAGTTGGGGCCTGCTTCAGCCACTTGTGCATCTGAGGATCCTGCTTCTCGACAGAAGCGGTGGGAAGCAGGATTGGCCCAGCCGGGAGGATATTCTCAGGCATCTTGCTGAATGGCCAGTCCAGCTCTTTTAGGCCTGGAGAGATGTGGTATCTATCCGGACGCCAGGCATCGGCAAACGGAAAGCGACCGTGAATCTTGTGCTTGATGCGCCATTCGCGAATCTCCCGACGTCGTCCACTGCCATGGTACATCTTGGCCGTCTTGAGAACAGCCATGATGTTGAGCGGGATGAGATGCCAGGGGATGGGGTAAGGGAAGCCAGTTCCAGGTCTGTTATATTAGCAATTGACTAATCATACAGAGGGAAGATACTCACAGGGGGTATTTCCATAGAGCAGCCGAGTTGGGTTGCATTCCGAGCACAATGTGACTCAGGGAGGTTGTATTAATCAGGATGGCTGTATGGCCCGTGTTGTAGGCAGCATCTCTGCCTTGAAGGAAGAAGAAGTCAATTGCAATCGTCGATGGCTTGACCTCCTGGATGATCTCAACGCAACTCTCATAGATGTCAACATATTCCTCCTCCGTCCAACCCCAGATGTCTTCACACAGAGACTGGAAGCCAAGGACAGCACCATGGTAGCCCGGGGGGTGAAAGGCACCACGCTTGCCTGTGCGGATGAAGACATCGGTGTTGGAGGGACCCCTTACAGGGTGGAAATGAATACGCGACCGGAAGGACTCGTCATAAGCAGGTGAGTTGTCTGCCAGAAGTTTCTCCACCCGGCGCTCAAGGACCGGGAATGAGCCAATATGGACTTCAACGTCTCCTTGGACGAGGAGCTCGTGCGTGATTGCCAGGATGATGTTCGTTTGACCATGTTCACTGTTGGCCAGAAAGAGGACTTTGGTAGGTTGTTTGGACATGGTAAGAAAAAAGAAGTATGCTCAATGCCAGCCCCGCTGGTTGAGCAGTCAATTATAAGAAAAGAAAGAAAAAAAGAAAGATTCAGGGTTCAATGATTGAGAGAAGTTTCGAAAAGAGGTTGAACGAATGACAAGAGGCGGATTGTTGGACGAAACCGCAGTGAAACAGATGGACCCTGACACTACTTAAGGCACATTCAAAGTCCGCCACAAGGACCCTTTTAAACTCGTGTTCTTGTGATACGTGCTGACTCCGCATTGTTTGTGGTTAATTGAGATAGGAGGTGCTTGGCGGAGGAGTTGAGAATTCACCCAAAATTGAGGAAATTGGGAAGGGCGCCGGCGGAGTTTCAAGCAACGCGACCACAAATCTGGGGGTTTAGCTCCAACCCTAAACCCATCAGAATATTCCCCCTCCATCCATGGTTCCACGTCGCATCAGGATCGACATGGAGGGCCACACCCTCCAACAGGATCACCTGGTTCGATCAAGCCTCAGATCATCCTCAGATAACGGCGACTTCCCGAGGAATTACCGTGAATGGAACCTAATCCGACAAGGTCAAATGAGGTAAACTAAAAAACACTGGCGGAGTTCCCAACCATCCATCGGCTGACCCCTGTTGTTCTGCATGCCGGTCACAGCATTGGAGACTGGAGGATGGAGAAGGACGATGGAGAAAGGAGAACCAGAGCGGATCCCAACGAACAATTGCCCTCATCCTCCGCATGGCGATGGTCGGCCAGATCATAAATAGACCAAGTCTGAACTTTCCTGCTGCTGCTGTTTGACCAGATCCAACTTTCACTCTCTCGTTTCACTCGTCAAAATGGTGTTTGCGATGGCCTTGCCTTCGGGCCAAATGCCCGAGATTAACCCTAGCAACCTGTCCCTGCCGGTCATGGCGGTTGTCATTGTATGTCCTGCATTAACCTGGTGGTAGAGTGTTGGCTAATTGTCAGGTCCCTTGGATCTTCATTCTTTTGATCAAATTCCTTCCTCAAGGTCCTACCATCAAGGGTGTCCCGGGCTCCTTCCTCGATCTTTTCTGCTGTGGTGTAGGTAGCCTATCTTTACGCGACCTACCTCTTCCTCTAACAACATACAGATTGCTACCAAGCTCAACTTTGTCACTGGACGGAGTGCACACTACTTCAACTCCCTCCATGTCTCATACGGTATATTCCTCTTGACCGGTGTATTCTGATAGCTACTAACTCGAGCAGGAAAAATTGTCAGGTTCGCCCCAGGACAAGCCACCACAAACACCATCAAAGGTCTTCGTAACATTTACGGCGCCGGATCTGGCAAAGGCAGCACCTTCCTCAAGACCGGCTTCTACAAGGGCATCTCTCGCCGCAACATCTTCACGGCCAGCGACCCGGTCTACCATGCTTCCGTTCGAAAGCTGTTCAATCCCTCCATGACTCCCAACAGCATGCAAGCTCATGCAAACGTGGTTCTGGAA